ATCTTACAGACAATAGTTGTCTGTATGTGTATGTAGTATTTGTATTTTAAATCTAGCGGAGTCACCGTCCAATAAAAATTGTTAATTTATTAATCAATAACTAATCTAATCAACCAAGACTCTATAAGATTAATTGGCGTGGTAATTGGCCCAGAATGCAAATCTATGATCAACCACTTATCTACCACAAAATATTCCCTGTTTAAAATTATATATGTATTTATTCATTTTACTGTTAATATATACATTTTATTAAATTACGTTACAGGAAAAATGATTATTCAATCTATTCTTACGCCAAGTATTCTAAATGTATGACATGCACACAAATTGCGACAGTGCGCTCGGTGTAAAAGTCCACCACGTGTATTTTATATGCCCTTCCTTACATTGACAATATCAGTAACAAAATAAACATTTTACAACTATCTGAGTCGAATATGCTGGTTTAGACTTTGGAGTGTTACAAACATGGAGGAAGACAATATATCAGTGCGTAATGATATAGACATGACTGGTCTTGTAACATAAAATCTTAAAAACATTTATCCATTCACTAAATTGAATTTCAGCGTATAATGACGTGTTTGTTCTAAGACATTGATTATGACATCAATTCAAAATACTCATTTATTCTCTATGATCGCAAAACATTTTTGCAACGCTATGTTTTATCTATTTACATTATATAAGTACGAATATTTGTATCAGATATTTTATTATATATGCGTATAGGGCGCAAATCAAACACATTGCACAGCGTATATTTATATCTCAAAAATTCAGCTATTTATTTTATTCTCAATCGAAATAATTTACACTTCTTTAAACGGCCATCATTTCATATTTCCTACAATATCTTTACATCACATAGGTTACCTTCAATTGTTGCTTCTCTAAATATTGTTTGATTATTATTACTGAAAATCAATTATCTGACATCACGAATCGTTAACATTTTTATTTCCGACCGTTTTGCGATTGAATTTCCTAGTTTCTTTGATTGAACGCAGCACTCGACGCAAACTTAGCAAAATAAGAGACATGATCATTTGAGCACTGCTATTACTAGACTGGAAAGAGGTGATACATTTGGCTCTTTGTCATGGCTACCGTGGGCTGATTTTTTTTTTTTAAAGATTTTATCACACAATTAGATTGATGGTATGACCTGCCTACCAAGTATGAATAAATGCGACCAGCCAAAACGCTGTTCATTACGATAATTTACTCTTAACTTTGTGGTTGTGAAAATAGATATATATAAAAAAACAGTAACTTTGGACACACACTCAAGCTGAGTAGTAGGAGCTTTATCCGTGATTTTTAATCCTATATTTGTAAGAGGAGATACAGTCAACGATCACTGTACTGCTATTACAGGACTAGTAGAAGGTGATTCATTTGGCGCGAAAGTATTAATAAATAATTGTAATTGGGGTGTTGCTATGGCAACGGTGGGCAAGATCTGTTTTAGCTTTTACCACGTAACTAGAGTAAAGGCGTGACCTGCCTGCCAAGTTTCAGCGCAATCGGGCCAGCCAAAAAAATTACAGAATAATTAATATGTGAAGACACTGGAAATAACACGGATAGATACACACACATATACACGTGGCAATCATAGCGGGGCGTCAAAAATAGTCCCCTAAATGGTTTAGTCCCGCAATAGTTTAAAGTTGAACACTTAAAGGTCAATCGTGTGTGTTCATTTTATAACACATCGACACACTGTGAACAATGTATTCTGGAATGCTGTTCAGTCTGATACATGTTGTTCTTCTTTGTAAGTATATCAAACACATACATTCAATACTTTTTAAAATGCATGATAAGCAGTTAGATTTGGGATACAATGTCCTTGTTTTTATTTGTTGCACCGACAGTTAGATTTATTGCTGGAGATTTCAAGGTAGGGGAGGATGTTGTAGTGAGCGAACATACAACAGCTGTTTTAAACTGCACGTATTCGACAACTGGAAGGGAAGATTTGTATTGGTATAAAGGCGACGATGAAGGCACATGGACTGTGGTCATATACGTTCCCAACTCAGAGGAACCTGAATACCAGACTGGATTTGATCGTCACGACATAGTCGGCCAAGCATCGCTGCAAATTACACAAACAGTGGTTAATGACAGTGACACATATTGGTGTCTTATAGTGGGATTAGGTGTCCAAACTGAAATGGATTCATTATCTTTAAATGTTATAGGTGAGGAATCAAAATCATTCATTAAATAATATTATGAAATAATCAAAACTTATGTTAAACAAATTTCAAATTACTCAACCTTCACATAATTAATTTCAAAATTTAGGATAATTTAAATATTACAACAATACTATTGATCGCGTATATTTTTCAATAATTAATATGTCTTTACAGAAATACGATCACCATCAATACCCATCGTCACATTATCCGAAAATCCAACTCATGAAGGGCATAATGTCACGTTGTTATGCGAATCTTACGGTGTCCCTCTTCCTACCTTTGAATGGATGAAAGACGGAATACAATTACAGGAACAAAAAAGATATCACTTTACAACAGATATGGGTTCTTTCATGATTGTTTCTGTTAGCAGAAAGGACATGTCAAATTACACTTGCATTGCATCAAATGATGGAGGTTCAAAGAAAACTACGGTATTTTTAAATGTGTACTGTAAGTATACAGGTCGTAGAAACCGATATATATATATATATATTTATCCTATATTAATATAACACCATTACATTACAAACACAATGTTGTTATGTTTTTTTTTTGTTCTTGAACAAATACTAATAAATGCATTTGTACATTATAAGTCATCACGAATCCTGCTATTTGTACGAAACTACACATATTTTATGAGTGCCATGTTTGAAGCAGTCGAGCAGACAGATTTTTGTTTCGTGTTCTACTTATTAGACGAACCAGATTATGTATGGCCTACTTGTTCTGCAGAACCTTTATCTAATATAGAATTCTTAGAAGCTGGTAACAGTATAACACTTATATGCGAAGCTGTAGATGGTAATCCATTTCCGGTATTACTTTGGTACAATGGGACTGAAATACTACCACAAGATGGATATAATACACCATCATCTGAGGACAAGGAAGTAATAACAAGGAACGAGTACACATTTATGCTGACTAAATATGACAATGACAAAATATACCAGTGCAATGGCCACCATCCAGTGTCTAATAACTCCTGTGATACTGGGTTATTGGATGTTAAATGTAAGCAGAAATTTGATATAAAATACACGCTTCAATACAACGTTTCTATTATTGTTACAACCATTCTTGTAATACATATAATTTCTATTTTCAATTTATTATAAAATAGTTCCTCCTAGCGATCCGATTTGCCCTGAGGCATATCTTTTATATGCGGAAGAAGACTTGTTTATACTTACATGTGAATCATATGACGGAAATCCGTTGGCGACACTATCATGGATTAATTGCACAGATGGCTCTGAAATGATTCTGACTACGCCATCGCCAAATGGGGACACGAGTGTAGCTACTCTTGAGTGGAATCTGACTAGAGTTGACAACCAAGGCATGTATAGATGTGATGCAACCAACCTTGTTCAGACTGATCCGTTATCATGTATAACTGGACCTATAAATGTGACATGTAAGTGAATTAGTAATTAAGGTAACCTTCCATATTATAATGTATATTTAAAATAACAACAATTCACAGTAATGTTAGATATACTTTTTCTTTTTTAATAGTCGCTCCTCTTTATGTTGACTTGAGTGGTTATGACGGGTCTGTACACGCAGGGTCAGTTCTGATATTAACATGTAAATGTGGATCGAGTAACCCCGCGTCTTCCATTAATTGGTACAAAAACAACACAGATATCAATAACAGCGATTATGAAGAGGTTGTTGACCAATGGTATGAAGGCGGTGAGTTCCACGGAACTGAAACATTTGAAGACATGAAAATAGATCTGGTTGCTGAACACAACTCTGCCATATATCACTGTGATGCAATATACAAGGGTGATTATGTCGTGGTGTCTCATGTTATAGTGATTGATGTCAAATGTGAGTATTAATTCAAATAATAAATAAACTTGTTTGACATTGCTTGTTTGACATGTTATAAATACATGTATGGTATACGCCATATTATATTTCATTCACCAAAAAACAAAATGTATGGCCATTGTTCCATCTGTTTATTTAACAAACCATTGCAATTTATTCAAGAAGTATTTGTTTATACTTGGTGTCCACTTGTTATTTTAATGCTGGCCACATGCGCAGACAACACAGTGTAATTTATACAAAGGCATATACTATTTTGAGGATTTTGGGGAAGTGTTCGGAACACTTGTAAAATGTATTTTAATTAATTGTTTATTTGTATGTAATGTTTATGGAGCAATTATACTCGGAAGCATTTGCGTGCTCTGAATGTAATGTACAGGAATGCATAACGGTTGATTTTTAATTTGGAAAGATCGAGTGCAAGTGTTCATTACATCTAAATTGTTTTCAATACTTTGTAATTTCCATTTACAATTTTAAACACTGTCTCAAAGCGTATACAAACACACATATATGATTCTCACAGGGATTTTAATATTTCCAGTCCCTCCTTCAGAACCATTTCCCTGTCGGACTAATTTAAGTGATTATAATGGTCCCGTATTTGCTGGAGAAGACTTGACATTGACTTGCACTTCGTGCAGCAGTAATCCACAAGCTGTTATTACTTGGTATTCAAATGGAAATGAAATACTGAATGGTATGAGTGAACCTGTGTATACACATGCTGAGTTCAATGGTTATAGGACTACGAGTAATTTATCAAAAATGTTGACATATTCTGATCACGGGAAGATAATATACTGCGATGCTCATAATGCGGAATTCCCTGACACAATTGTAGAGTCAATTGACATACGTCTGAATATTCACTGTAAGATTTCAAATTAATTGTTCAATTGTTATTAGTAAGTCATATCTGGTTTAATAATGTCGTATATCTAGTACACATTCGTTTCCATTTATTTGTATTTGCCATTGTTTTTGCTTTAGATGGACCAATTGTAATAAACACAGATGAGGATCGTGTATTTGTGGAGGTCATGCAGACAGCAAACCTGACCTGTCAAATAAATAGTAATCCTGATGGAAATATCACGTGGTATGGCCCAAGAGAAGGAGAAGTTCTCAATATGACTCGCCCAAGAATTATTATAGAAGAAAGAAACTACACAATACGTACAAGTATCTTAGTTATAAAATACGTTCAACTTGAAGACTATGGCAACTATACATGTAAGGCGGAAAACTATATTCATACATCGTATTTCGTCATCACTTTGACTCAAATAAGTGAGTATGTCAGAATTGTGTTCAAATTAATTAATTATTTATTTATTTATTTGTTTGTTTGTTTGTTTATTTGTTTATTTATTTATAATTTATTATTGATTTATTTATATAT